AGGGAGGGGAAAAATGAGGACCTAATGCCGGGGGCTTAAGTGGAGAGTAAATGCTTTGAGAATGATGAGGGCAATGAGTGTACAAATGTGCTTTACACGATGGATGTGTGTTTGGATTGTGATAAGAGTTGTACGAGCCCTAATAAAATGATTTTTTTAAAAGAAAAGAAAGCTGCCTCAGACAGGAGCCGTGCAACTGCACCTGGCTGTCAGCGGAAAGGTTGGGGGGTTGCGTGCACCTAGGGGTGCCGCATAAGAAAGGCTTGGTGAGCTGTTTCTAGAACACAAGCCCCCAGGAGCACAGTTCTACGGGGAGGCCCATGGGGCTGCCCTACGTCGGAATTAGCTGGAAGACAACTCTTCTTTGTTTTGTTATTAACAGCACTAAGAGAAGAAGGTGAGAAAATTAGCGGAACAAAACCAAATAAAATGTGAACACGGAAAAGTATTTTACTATTTTGTCCAAGGTTTGTAAAACATAGTTGAGGTTTATAAACAAGTGTGGACGTTAGCTCTCAGCCTTATCATGTATCGTAATCGGGACCCGGTTACTGTCCAGTTGATCCCTAGTCATAAAGACTTCACACGTGTCCCAGTACAATGGTGATCCACAGGGTTTTCCGGACGAGATCGGGCGCGTTCAGGGGGGTATGGCCGTAGACTCACAGGGTTTTTCGACGGCTGGTTGTTCTGAGGTAGATCGCCAGGCCTTTCTTTGGAGCTATCTCGGTGTAGACTTGAACTTCCAGCCTTTCAGGGGCAGCTGGAGGTGCTCTTGGTTTACTTTATTTAAAAGGTGTACTTCTAAAACGACTTGCTTTGTTTTCTTGTTATGACTCCTACGTTTTCCTGCTGTGGTGTATATGCACATACACGTATACAGAAATGTGCACATACACACACACGGGGGCTTTATAATCTTGTGGAAAATGGAATTAAAACATAATGGAATTTCCCACAAACTTTTTGAAATATATGTCAAGACATTTGTCATTTTAGTGTGTTTTAGATTGTAGAATTCAGTGATATTTTTAATGCTCACCAAGTGCAAATATGACTACTACTCTTATACAAGATTTTCCAGTATCAATAACAGAAATTCAATTTCCCCTACACAATAATTTCTCCTTTCCGCCCTTGGTAACCACTGATAAATTTTAGTCCCTAACTTATCATTCTAGATATTTGACATACGTAGAATCATCTAATAGGCGTTCTTGTGTGACAGAAGAACTGATGTCACTGAGCACGAGGTTCATCCATGCTGTGCTTGTATCGGGACTTCATTTTCTTTATGACCGAGTACTAGCTGACCTCGATTTTAAAGGGAAATCAGTGGTAACACAAAGGACAC